ACCGCCTCAAAGCCTTCCCTTGCCTCCAAGCTGTGAGTCCACCCCTGACTACACCTCGCCCTTCCATCTGCAAATCGACGCTAGTGGTGTCGAATTGGGGGGCTGTGCTCCTACAACCCGACCCAACCACTGATGTTCTTCACCCTGTGGCATATTACTCCGCCAAGAAGTTAAGAAAAAACATCAAGACCAACTACTCGACCATAGAGAAAAGGAGGGCGCCTGGCTCTGGTGTTTGGCAACAAAAAGAAGTTTGAATGTTACCTCCAGTCTTGCCACAAACAACCCTAGTCTTCACCGACCATAACCCCCTCACGTTCATCCAAACCAACAAGACCTCCAACCAGCGAATCCTCCGCTGGGCTCTCCTCACCCAGCCCTATAATCTACAAGTCCGGCACATAAAGGGGGTCGATAACCTGATTGCAGACTCCTTATCCCGAGCTCCAGTGGAAATGCAGCAGCTACTCTCCAGACGCACCAGTTGATCACCTCCTTCGCGCCAGCGCTACGGAGGTCTTTGGAGGGGGGGTGTTACGAACCCCTCCACCCCGCACTACGAACCACGCCATCTATTGTCCTGATCTACCTACCCACCACCACGAGCAACGCCATCTAGGGCCGAGACACGTGTATGACTCGTCTTAGTTACCACTCCGAGGTTTCCCTTCTCCATATCCTGGGTTGCGTCACCTCCTCAAAGTCTTCTTTGTCGGCTCCAATTCGAGGAGAGGCACTTGGCTCTGGGAAGTGACCACAGGATCATCTATCCTCTAAACCTACGTGCAGTGACTACCTACCGTCTTCTACAATACTCAGCCTTACTCGTCAGCCATCTCAGCTCCTCACTTAAGTACATGTATCTTGTATTACCTCCCCCACGTCCACTTGCTTCGAGATTGTTTTATGTTTATTAATATGTATATACTGTTAATGTTTAGGTTAAGTTTGGTTAAGGGTAATTTATAAGCTGAATATTTTGTTAAGGGATTTATGGTACTCTATTATATACAACGAAAACTCGCATCCTTTGTCTACCCTTTTATAGTCCGATTGTCTTTGTTTTTTTTATTGTTGTTACCTGTTGGGATCTGGGTAGACGTATAACTATATTCTAAATCCCCAACTCGTAACAATATTCACATAAGTAAATCATATTTCATTAGTTTAAATAAAGTCATAAGCCATAATAGTAAAGTATTGTCTATTAGTCGATGTGATTAAGAGCGTTAACGACCATTAACCTACGCTTGTTCATAATAAATTAACTCGTGTATCTTAATATTTTGTCAAGTACTTCCGTTTAAAATAAATCTGTACAAATAATTTTAATATATCGACCTTTACACAATATAAATTTAACCACTTAAATACACTAAAAACAACACTTACTGTAGTTCACTTTATAAACAGCGTCTGTCAAGTGAGAGAGACAGAACCTCCCCCGTTCGTGTTTGTATTGGCACTGAAGCTCCACGTGTCAGTCAATAGCATCTGTTTAGTCTTCTTCCCGCTAAAAAGTTTATCCGAATAAGGAAACATTAAAAAATAAATCCAACCTTAATCGAACATACAAGATTTAATACAAATTTTTGGGGAAATTAATTTATATCGTAATGAAGAAACACTCTTTTGTAGACAAGATGGGAAAGTTACCATCTATGTCGATAAAAAAAATGTGATGTTTTAGATCATCCTAGCAGCGCCATCTGTTGACCTGACCCGTTACTATACGAGAAACATTTTAAACGTGGTATTACTCATTGTCACGTTTGTTTGGATTTGAGTTTCGCCCTTAAGATGATGTAAACAAACCATAGTATTTGTAAATAAGCCATAGTATATGTAAACAGACCATAGTATATGTAAACAGGCCATAGTATATGTAAACAAAGCAGACGAAGCACAGTACCTGCCATCTATTGAGCCGACCCAGCAGTGTTAAGAGTTAATGATCACAGCGATTCGTTAATTTTCCTGATTTACTTAATTATATCATAAAAAATACTTTAATATTACTAACACATTTACTTTTATCTAACAATAATATAATACTTTTAAGTAAACCCTAAACTCAGAAAACTTTACGTGGACAAATCTAAACGAAATACTTCCCGACTACAATAATGGTAGTTACCGTACCTTACTGGGTGGTTACCAATCATCAGTTATAGACAGATAGATAGATACATAGATAATTCCAGGCGCTCTAATCTTTCAGGGTAGCCGAGGTGCCGTAGTGCAGGCACCAATCTGGTGGCCCTCCTTTGGACATGTTCAATCAACTGACAGTCCCCAGCATATCTCGGGGACCAGACGGGGTGACAGTACTACAGATGGGGAAGCACTTCACTCTTGAAAATCGTTGCGAGGGACGGATCGTCTAGATCAGGGGTTCCCAAGGTTTTTTCTAGCACGACCCCATCCAGTGTTGTCAACTATCCAGTGCAACCCCAAATCATTTCACTGGCAGACCCAAAAGACCCCAGCGACCCCACCGACCCCATGACCTCTTTGCGACCCGACCTAATGAGCCTTCCGACCCCGCCTTTATGGGGTGGATGGAATCCTGCCATTGTTAAGGACAAAATCATAACATCTTCTCGGGCGATATCCTACCGTATTCTGGCGCAGAATCCTACCGTATTCTGGCGCAGAATCCTACCTTATTCTGGCGCAGAATCCTACCGTAATCTGGCGCAGATTTCTGCTACTGTGCAGAAAACAAGCGTATTCCGTGAGAAGAAGTAAAACTAACGAATTCCACTGTTTTGATTCTAAATTGATTGATTATACTAGAAGAATTAAAACTAACTAAAAACAGCATTTTTATGAGTAAAAAGCGTTTTCCGTGAGAGAAGTAAAACTTACTAAAATGCACTGTTTTGAGCAGGAACTCATGTTTCCAGTAAAAGAAGTAGAACTAACTAAAAGCATTATGTTTGAGCAGAAAAGAAGCGTTTTCCGTGAAAAGACATCAGTGAACTAAAGTACACTTTTTTTAGCAGAAAACGAGCGTTTTTCGTGAAAAGAAGTAAAACTAACGAATTCCACTGTTTTGATTCTAAATTGAGTGTTTTCACTAGAAGAAGTAAAACTAACTAAAACAGCATTGTTAGGAGAAAAAAGTGTTTTCCGTGACAGAAGTAAAGCTTACTAAAATACACGGTTTTTTAGTAAAAAATAAGTGTTTCCAGTACAAGAAGTAAAACTAGCTAGAAGTAGTGTGTTTGAGCAGAAAACAAGCGTTTTTCGTGAAAAAAATAGTATGAACTAAAATGCACTGCTTTGTGCAGAAGACAAGCGCATTCCGTAAAAAGAAGCAAAACTAACGAATTCCATCTGTTTTCATTCAAAATTGAGTGTTTTCACTAGAAGAAGTAAAACTATCTACAAACAGCATTTTTAGCAGAAAAAAAGGCGTTTTCCGTGGGAGAAATAAAACTTACTAAAATACACTGTTTTTTAGCAGAAACTGATGTTTCCAGTACAAGAATTAAAAAACTAAAAGCAGTGTGTTTAGGCAGAAAACAAGCTTTTTCCGTGAAAAAAAAATTAGAATGAACCAAAATGTACAACTTTACGCAGAAAACAAGTACATTCAGTGAAAAGTCGTAAAACTAACGAATACCACTGTTTTCATTCAAAATTGAGTGTGTTACGAGTGAGAGTTCCATCGTTGGTTGTGGATTCGCAACGTGAACGTCTTTTGTTTGTGACGTCGTTTCTGCCGCGTCCGCTCGCTTTGTTTACTTTAGTATGGGCCCGGCAGTGTTTAGTTAAGTACAGAGTATCTCCTTTCTTATTGTACAGTATGTTTCTAGTGGTATAACGTGTAAACCTTGCTCGACTTTTATAATACCAAGTAAAGTATTATTTGTGAAAGATTATTGTTAATCATATTTTGGAGTTCCACGGAAAATAACTTACTTATTTATGAGGTTTCGTGTGGTGGATAGACCACGTCGTTGTCGTTGTTCATCGTAGTTTCTAGACCAGTGGTTCTTCACCTGGGGGGCGCGCCCCCCCTAGTGGGCGTCAGTAATTTCCATGGGGGGCGCAAGCCCGAGGGAAAAAGAAGGAATTTCTCTAATTATAATTATAGTTTTTATTCTCTCAACAAGAGCGTGGGCTAATATTGAGAAGTTTATGAAAAAATGCAAAAGTATCGCCTTATAACTTTAGTTTTCTATAGGCTACTTTTTTTACTTAGGGCTTACCATTTTCTGTACTCATTGACCCCCCTCCCTATCCCTCGAAACCCATGGGGGGGGGGGGGTTTAACTCGTCCTGGACCTGTATACTGCTCGTTGGTGACTGGTTGAGCCCCGTTCTCTCCCAGTCTTCTTTACACGTCCGTGGCAATAATTCCTCTTCTCTCACATTTATTCAGTTAAGGCTGTTGAGGTATGTTTATCCCAGTTGTTATATTTACCTAAAAATAGTAAGCAGCCATAAGTTTATTGGTGAATTGTGAACGCGCATATGTTGCTCTGTTATTCGCAAGTTTTGAATTCCGTTTGTATTTTATCAGAAGTTGGTGGTGCTTAAAATCATGTGGTGGTAACAGGTGGTTATGGTAAAGTTGTTTATGATGATATTGATTTGTTTCTTAATAATCATATGTTTATGATCATGATGTGTTTACTATAATGTTGTGGTGTTTGTTAATATTTACTTAATAATTATGTGGTGGAGTTTATGATCATGTAGTGGTGTTTATGATCATGTTGTGATCATTGATGTTTGTTAATGATATAGTGGTGTTTATGATCATGTGATGTTTGTTAATGATATGGTGGTGTTTATGATCATGTATGATTGTAGTCACTTGTAGTGTTTACGAACTTTACGATCATATGTTTGTTATTGATCATGTGGTTGTGATTATCATGATGTTGTGGTGTTCATGAGCACGTGGTGATGTTTATCTTACCTTACACGTGCCGTATGTTTTGTTCACAGATTTGTGTTGTCCACTGCACATCAAATAATTCGCAATGAGTGCAAAGAAGCGGAAGTATCTTGACGAATATATTCGATTTGGATTCGTGTCTCTCCAAAAAGGTGACACAGAGGGCCCCCAGTGTGTGATATGTTACAAAACTCTGAGCAATGATGGAATGCGGCCCTCACGCTTGGAACGCCACTTGAGGACAACACATCCTGCTCTAGCTGATAAGCCCAAAGCATTCTTTGAAACAAAAAGACACTCCTTGAGGCAAGTTAAGTTGGACGGCAGTTGGGCATTTCGGCAACAAACTTCAAAGGTTGTTGAGGCTTCCTATGAGATCGCCATGTTGATTGCAAAGAGCAAAAAGAAGAGCCATAACATCGGAGAGTTTCTCATAAAACCAAGCATACTCCGTGCAGCAGAACTCGTTCTGGGGAAAGATAGTGCAAACAAGCTTTCCCAAATTTCACTTTCAAATGATACAGTCAAGGGAAGGATCGATGAATTGTCTCAAGACATCAAAGATCAAATTCTCGACCAAGTAAGAGATTCTCCTGTTTTTGCTCTCCAGTGTGACGAAACGACTGATATCGCTGAGTGTTCTCAGCTACTGATGTATGCTCGTTTCGTGTCAGGCAACAGTGTAAAAGAGGAAATGCTGTTCTGTCACCCCATGGAAAGTTGTACAACAGCAGCAGCTATTTTTCATGATGTATCAAACTTCTTTCAGGAAAACCAACTTTCGTGGGACTCGCTGGTAGGGGTGTGGACTGATGGTGCTCCAGCCATGCTTGGTCTGCAGTCTGGATTCATTACAATGGTGAAAGAAAAAAATCCGTCTGTTGTAGGTACACACTGCATACTTCATCGTGTATCCTTAGTATCCACAACTTTACCTGCTGAAATGAGGGATGTCCTGAACGTGGCTATCAAGGTAGTCAACTTTATCAAAGCTGGAGCCTTAAACAGTCGTCTCTTTAAACTGCTGTGTAAGGATATGGAATCTGAACATGAAACCTTCCTTTTTCACACGAACGTACGATGGCTATCAAAGGGGAACATGCTTGGACGGCTTTATGAACTACGAGAAGAAGTAGCAGTATTTCTTGATTCGAAGCAGAAGGCAGATCTCCATGACAAGTTCCAGTCTGAAGGCTTTCAGCTATCTCTAGCTTACCTGGTGGACATCTTCGAAGCGTTGAATGCTCTCAACCTTAAACTGCAAGGGAAAAACATCAACATCATCATGCACCACGACACCATTCGAACCTTCATGGCCAAACTCGACCTCTGGAAAAGTCGAATTCAGCAGGGAAATACAGCCAGTTTTAGTAACTTGGATTATGCTCTCATTCACGGTTACCTTGATTCTGAGTTAAAGCAACAAATAATCACTCATCTAACTGACTTGAAAACAGAATTCATCAGATACATCCAAGAGATAGATGAGAAGCGTGAAGCCTGGAAATTCATCAAGAACCCATTTCAATGTGAAGTAGCTGATGTTTCGGATGAAGTGCAATAGGAGTTTCTTGAGTTGAAGTTCAACTCCACAGCTAAGGGAGACCTCAAAGAACTGGATCTTGAGACGTTCTGGGTCAAGTACCTTCCTGTTTACCCTCTGATCTCACATCAGGCTCTTCGGATTCTAACTATGTTCGGATCCACGTATCTTTGTGAAGCTGCATTTTCCACGCTCGTTGCTGTCAAGACCAAGTACAGAAACATGCTGAACGTTGAAGGGGATTTACGTTGTGCACTCTCTGGCATTCAACCACGCATTCAAGATCTAGTAGCTAAGAAGCAGTGTCAAGTATCTCACTAATTTATACTCAATAAAAAGACTAAAAACACAATATTTTTCATTTTTCTTTAAAATCTGGGAGGGAATTTTATTCATAGATGCAAGGGGGGCGTGGAGGGAAGGACCAATTCCTAGAGGGGACGTGGTAGTAAAAAGGTTAAGAACCACTGTTCTAGACTAAATAAGTCTTTACTTTTATGTTCATTATATTGTCACTCGGTTGAGTCATTTATTTGATCAGATTTAACTTGTATTTGTTTATTTTGTACAAATTGATATATTTATTTTATTGTTTATTTGTTAATATATTCTGCATGTATTTCAATATACCCCAGAGTAATGAGGTGATAATTTGGTGGGATCTATTCCTGGACCTATAGTACAAAGTGTAATTTGTGAATTTGTGATATTGTTTCACCCTTAAGAGGCCCAAGGGTCGTAACAAGTGTTTTCTCTAGAAGAAGTAAAACTAACTAAAACAGCAATTTTAGGAGAAAAAAAAGCGTTTTTCGTGAGAGAAGTAAAACTTACTAAAATACACTGTTTATAAGTAAAAACTGAGTTTTCCAATGCAAGAAGTAAAACTAACTATAAACAGCGTTTTGAGCAGAAACGGATGTTTCCAGTAAGAGAAGTAAAAATAACAAGAAGCGTTTTGAGCAGAAAATAAGCGGTATGTGGCGATTCTCGGATTATTTCGTATAATATTGTTATAAAGTACTAAGTCGACCCCCAATTGACTTTGACAGTCTCCCACTTGGTGTGTGGCGATTCTCGGATTAGTTCATATAATATTGTTATAAAGTACTAAATCGACCCTCAATTGACTTTGACAGTCTCCCACTCGTTGTGTGGCGATTCTCGTATTATTTCGTATAATATTGTTCTTAAATACTAAATCGACCCTCAATTGACTTTGACAGTCTCCCACTCGGTGTGTGTCGATTCTCGGATTATTTCGTATAATATTGCTCTTAAGTACTAAATCGACCCTCAATTGACTTTGACAGTCTCCCACTCGGTGTGTGGCGATTCTCGGATTATTTCGTATAATATTGTTATAATGTACTAAAATTGACCCTCAATTGACTTTGAGAGTCTCCCACTCGGTGTGTGGCGATTCTTGGATTATTTGGTATATTATTGTTATAAAGTGCTAAATCGACCCTCAATTGACTTTGAAAGTCTCCCACTCGGTGTGTGGCGATTCTCGGATTATTTCGTATAATATTGTTATAATGTACTAAAATTGACCCTCAATTGACTTTGAGAGTCTCCCACTCGGTGTGTAGCGATTCTCGGATTATTTGGTATAATATTGTTATAAAGTACTAAATTGACCCTCAATTGACTTTGACAATATCCCTCTGGGTGTGTCGCGATTGTCGGATTATTTCGTATAATATTGTTCTTAAGTACTAAATCGACCGTCAATTGAGCTTGAGAGTCTCCCACTCTGTGTGTGGCGATTCTCGGATTATTTCGTTTAATATTGTTATAAAGTGCTAAATCGACCCTCAATTGACTTTGAAAGTCTCCCACTGGGTGTGTGGAGATTCTCGGATTATTTCGTATAATATTGTTATATAGTACTAAATTGACCCTCATTTGACTGACAGTCTCCCACTGGGTGTGTGGCGATTCTCGGATTATTTCGTATAATATTGTTATAAAGTACTAAATCGACCCTCAATTGACTTTGACAGTCTCCCACTGGGTGTGTGGTGATTCTCGGATTATTTCGTATAATATTGTTATAAAGTACTAAATCGACCCTCAATTGACTTTGACAGTCTCCCACTCGGTGTGTGGCAATTCTCGGATTATTTCGTATAATAGTGTTTTAAAGTACTAAATCGACCGTCAATTGAGCTTGACAGTCTCCCACTCGGTGTGTGGCGATTCTCGGATTATTTCGTGTAATATTGTTATAAAGTACTAAATCGACCCTCAATTGACGTTGACAGTGTCCCACTGGGTGTGTGGCGATTCTCGGATTATTTCGAATAATATTGTTATAATGTACTAAATCGACCCTCAATTGACTTTGACAGTCCACCCCTAGGGTGTGAAGGTTCTCGGATCATGTCGTATAATATTAGCATAAAGTATATTATAAAGTATTAAATCGACCCTCAATGACTTTGAAGTCTCCCACTCTTGTGTGGCGATTCTCGGATTATTTCGTATAATATTGTTATAAAGTACTAGTCGACCCTCAATTGACTTTGACAGTCTCCCACTCGTTGTGTGGCGATTCTCGTATTATTTCGTATAATATTGTTCTTAAGTACTAAATCGACCCTCAATTGACTTTGACAGTCTCCCACTCGGTGTGTGGCGATTCTCGGATTATTTCGTATATTATTGTTATAAAGTACTAAATCGACCCTCAATTGACTTTGACAGTCTCCCACTCGGTGTGTGGCGATTCTCGGATTATTTCGTATAATATTGTGTCGATTCTCGGATTATTATTTCGTATAATATTGCTATAAAGTACTAAATCGACCCTCAATTGACTTTGACAGTCTCCCACTCGGTGTGTGGCGATTCTCGGATTATTTCGTATAATATTGTTATAAGTACTAAATTGACCCTCAATTGACTTTGAGAGTCTCCCACTCGGTGTGTGGCGATTCTTGGATTATTTGGTATAATTATTGTTATAAAGTGCTAAATCGACCCTCAATTGACTTTGAAAGTCTCCCACTCGGTGTGTGGCGATTCTCGGATTATTTCGTATAATATTGTTATAAAGTACTCAATTGACTTTGAAAGTCTCCCACTGGGTGTGTGGCGATTCTCGGATTATTTCGTATAATATTGTTATAAAGTACTAAATCGACCCTCAATTGACTTTGACAGTCTCCCACTGGGTGTGTGGTGATTCTCGGATTATTTCGTATAGTATTGTTATAAAGTACTAAATCGACCCTCAATTGACTTTGACAGTCTCCCACTCGGTGTGTGGCAATTCTCGGATTATTTCGTATAATAGTGTTTTAAAGTACTAAATCGACCGTCAATTGAGCTTGACAGTCTCCCACTCGGTGTGTGGCGATTCTCGGATTATTTCGTGTAATATTGTTATAAAGTACTAAATCGACCCTCAATTGACGTTGACAGTGTCCCACTGGGTGTGTGGCGATTCTCGGATTATTTCGAATAATATTGTTATAATGTACTAAATCGACCCTCAATTGACTTTGACAGTCCACCCCTAGGGTGTGAAGGTTCTCGGATCATGTCGTATAATATTAGCATAAAGTATATTATAAAGTATTAAATCGACCCTCAATTGACTTTGAGAGTCTCCCACTCTGTGTGTGGCGATTCTCGGATTATTTCGTATATTATTGTTATAAAGTACTAAGTCGACCCCCAATTGACTTTGACAGTCTCCCACTTGGTGTGTGGCGATTCTCGGATTAGTTCATATAATATTGTTATAAAGTACTAAATCGACCCTCAATTGACTTTGAAAGTCTCCCACTGAGTGTGTGGCGATTCTCGGATTACTTCGTATAATATTGTTATAAAGTACTAAACCGACCCTCAATTGACTTTGACAGTCTCCCACTCGTTGTGTGGCGATTCTCGTATTATTTCGTATAATATTGTTCTTAAGTACTAAATCGACCCTCAATTGACTTTTACAGTGTCCCACTCGGTGTGTGGCGATTCTTCGATTATTTCGTATATTATTGTTATAAAGTACTAAATCGACCCTCAATTGACTTTGACAGTCTCCCACTCGGTGTGTAGCGATTCTCGGATTATTTGGTATAATATTGTTATAAAGTACTAA